GAAAGTTGTTTGAGATTTGTGATGGGATTGTCGAGGAGAGGTTTCGACAATGCAGGTAAGAAAAGGACGATTGGATCGAGTCACTTGTTGATCTTCATCTCAAGGGTGACTTGAGCAAAGATGATATTCGTAATCTCCTACCCGTAATCGTGCTTTTTTTTCCTTATACTTTCTTTTCATCTACTCGGTTGACTTTCGTTTAGGAGTTGTAACCCTTTGAAGCTAACGACACTCAGAAGCGAAATCCACGGAGAAATCGGTGCGCGATTAGTCCAAGAATCGGACATCCAAAACCTCCCTTACTTAAGAGCCGTGGTTAAGGAGACTTTTTGACTTCATCCGCCCGCCCCTTTCTTGGTTCCCCGTGAGGCCAATGCCGATGTCGAGGTGAACGGCTATATCATCCCTAAGGGTGCGCAAGTCATGATCAATATTTGGTCCACCGGTTGGGACCCCAGTGTGTGGCCCAATGCAGATGCCTTCTGGCCCGAGCTGTTTTTGGGTGACTCTGAAGTCGACTTTAGAGGTAATGATTTCGGGCTGATACCGTTTGGGGCTGAGGATGTGTCCTGGTTTGCCCCTTGCACATCGAATGTTGCACCTCATGATAGCCGCGTTGGTGGGGGGTTTCGGGTGGCGGCTCGGGGGAGGGGTCGAGCCGGGAGATTTGTTAACAAAGTGTCATGCATAACTATATATCATCTTATAAAAAACACAAATAAACAACAACCGGGTAATTGTTGGTATTGGTTGGAAAAAGTGTTTATTTTATTTATTTATCAGCGTATTTTTTTTGGTAGTCAGCCACGATATCTAGATCTATGCTCTGACTAATCCGTTGGTCGACCGGGTCGCACACCTGGCAGTTGTGGTTAAGTCTCCCAACAAGGGTTTTTTGCATTCACAAGAACTCGAACCCGAGACCTTGTTTAAGGTATATCAAGCTGCTTACCACTTGAGTCAACCCCAGTTGGTTATTTATTAGCGTATTTTTATCTATTTTTTGACTTATTTATTTATTAAATAAATTTAAATGTCATGATATATTTATGGTTTATTTTAGACCATTGAAGTACTTCTATGGACGGACATTATACGAAATTTCGTTCAGCGCTATGTGGAATACCCCATAGTAGCCCGATTTTATGTCACATTCGGGTCCAATCTCATTATCAATGATCTTT